TTGGAAAGCAAATTTTTATTCCTGGAGAAGAAAATTTCCTAGAAAATTGTAATGTTCTAAACTATACAAAACAGAGAAAATGGGAAAGCTGTAACAAAGAATTACTTCTAAAGATTTTATATCAATCAATAACATAGTGGAAAAACATAATGGCATGCAGGTGGTATTGAGAGCTACAATATGAAATTTAAAATTATAAGACAAATATTGCATTTCATGTAATAAAAATGCCCCAATAAATAATGAAAATAGGAAAAAATTAACGAAAAGCTTAAAAAATGCTTTAAAATGCAAAATACGGCCCAAAATTTAGAAAAAAATGCCCTATAAATCTTAAAAAATGCTCTAAAGGACAAAAAATGTCCAAAAATGCAAATGTCATCAAAATCCGGGCCTTACTTATCACCATTTTATAATTATAAAAAAAATATCAATTCGATGTAATAAAAAAATTGCTGCGTAAGAAAATAGTAATTTAATTGAAAATTTAATACATTAATATTGTATTTAATGATTTAACAGTGTAGTATGTTGATAGAGTTATTTTGTGTTTTTTGATTCAATTAATCGTGAATTCAACTTCATAAAGCAAGAAATTGAAAATTAAGCTGGTTTATTGATTGTTATTGCAATGTATTTGAATATATTTTTTTTTTTTTTTTAACTTCTAAAATCATATTAAATAGAAGATTTTTCCAATTTTAGCGTAACTGTTACATGCTAAAAATTAAATTATGATGTAATTGTGAATTGTATCTTTCTAATCTTACTTTTATTCATAGAATTTCAAAAGAAGTATTAATTTTGTGTTTAATATAACCTATGATATTTTCTAGATAAGACTACATTGTTTTAATATTAATTTTTTTCTTATCTTTCAGTAAACAAATACTGAATTTTGATGAAGTAAAGCATTTTTATTAAGGAGTTAAGTTTCTTAATATTTATTTTTTTCCTTTAAACAAATAAATTTTTAAAGTAACCTGTTTATTCAAAATCTTATTGGATATTAATAAATAATTAATTAATTTTTAAACTTAATTTATATGTCTAACAAGCAGCTGAGGATTAGTTACATTTTTCAGCACAATTTAATTTAAACCCTTCTAATTTTTTTTTTTTTTTGCTCGTTTGCATCAACACTATAGGTAAACTAAATTTCATTAACTCTTTAACTGATTTGTTACTTGGGGGGATTTGTAGAGAAATTTCGCTTTTCGGATCTGTATTTTCTTTAAATATCATGTGGAAAACCTATTTTCTATACAGGAAAGAAAACAGATTGCACTCCAAACTGAGTTTAGGACATGAAGGGACATGAATTTCAGCATTGTACAATTATTTGGTCTATGTATCTAAATCTGTATTTTTGTGACTTAATGAAGGCACAATTTGGGCTAACAACTTTTGGTTTTGGCAAAGTGATACTTATTCACACGATCTTTTAATCCAGCAATTAAATATTTTTCTTTCTAATGTTTTAGTTAATTAAATTTTATCCTTGTTTAAAAGTAAAACTATTTTTTCAATTATGTGAAAGTATTCAAACAAAAACATTCAGTTATACAAAAATGTGTGTTTGATAAATGTTTGTATGCCTTTTCACCATCCTCTTTTTTTTCATTATTTTTTAATATTTGATTTATTTTACATATAAATAAACACTTATTCTATCAAACATCAAATTTATTCAAATCATAAAGTATGTTCTATTAATTAAATGATAAATTGCTCCTAATTGCTTGCAGATATTTCTATAAATAATAAAGAAATCCTCAAAGCAGAGAAAATAAGAAGGGCATTTTTACTTACATTGTGCGATGATCTACGATCTTCTCTTCAATTATGTGGCATAGCAATCAAGGTAAATTTATTTCATTTATTATAATATTAATCACTGTATTTTTTAAATATTCAATTCTTATTGTGTCACAAAAACTATGCTAATTACTTTTTAATGTCATTATTTTGCTTGTCATCATAATCAATTTTCTTTTAATGATCAACTTCTTCTGAAGTTTAAAATTTCTTAGAAGCCGATTTAAAATATAATTTCGCTGCTCACTGTCACAATTTGAGAAACTGTGACTATCTGTTTATCTGGTCACAATAGTCAAGTCAAGAAGGCAGAGGAAAGTTAATATTCTTATTGTTAATTTTTACCAAATCTCTAAAATTAAGTAAATAAATTGAAAATATTTCTCACACAATTATAAAACTTGTTTATTTGAAAACTACACTCAAAAAATAATTTTTAATAATTACTTATTTTAAATAAATCCCAAAGAACTGCGGTAATAAGATTTTACTTAATTAAAAACTTCATTCACTTCAAAAAAATACACAAATAACAGTTTACATATTTCCAGCACTCAAAGACAGTCACCCAATTTCAAGACTTGCCTGATGTGGATAACATTGGGCAAGTCTGATTAAGTCTCTGGCCCTTGGATGTTCAAGTCTTGAAAATGGGTATCTGTTTTTGAGCACTTCATGTAAACTGTTATTTCCAGTTTGTATATTTTTGAGTGAATGAAGTTTTTAATCAAGTTATTACTTATATTATTTCAATTTATTTATAATTAAAACATTTCTAAAGTGTAAGTTAAATAAATTTTTACACACTTTAAAATTATGTAATTTTAAAAGAAAAAATCCAACATTTGAACAAATTTGGTTAAAATAATTCTTAATCTATAAAATTTCAAGAGGTTGTAGTTTTAAAACTTTTTTTCTCATACAAAATATTCAAATGCTTATTTTAAATTTCGGATTCATTCAGTTGAAATAATATTATACAGTATGGTTTTAAAAATATTACATCTTACAGTTCAAAATTTTTTTCTATCATTATTAAATTAAATAATAAATAATTTTTTTTTTTGATAAATTTGGGTGTATCTTAATTGCATACAAAAGTTTTTTAGTGCAATAAATAGTTCTTAAAATATGGTAAAATAGGCAAAAATGTAAGTTTAACATCAAGGTATCAAACTTTTAAATTATATCTTGTTTAAACAAGTAAGACCATTTAAAAAATATAAATCTGTCCCAAAAAAAAGGATATATTTATATTAGTTTAACTGTTGTGATGATGCCATACTGCATAAAATTACATGGTACTTTTAAGGAGCTTGTTTTCCAGGCATACCATTAACAAATAGGTGGACAGATACCCCAAAATTTCATCTTGTGATTTTTTCTAAGTCTTCTTGAAATGTGCATGTTTAGTTCTCTGGCACCATACTCAAATGTTTAATTTTGCAGCACTACTCACAATTCATCAGTGGAAACATTAAATTAAATTTAAAAACTTTAAATGCTTATTAAAATGCCGCAACAGGCAATTGATGTTGTTAACTAAACACTTATCGAGAGATGGTGAGCATCTACAAAACAAATTGGGAAATATACTTTTTTTTGTTTGTTTTTTTTTTCAGTTTAAAAGTGAAATGTTTTTATGCTTACTTCATATTAATATGTATATAAAGGTAATCATTCACTCTTGATAACTTTTAAAATCGCCTGATTTTTTTTTCCACCTTGTAATTAATAATTATTAAATTAATTATAGTAATGAGTTTTTAAATAAATATTATAAGCTATTTTTTTTTTTTAAATTTGATATTTTTCTCAAACAGGATAGGAAAGACATTTCAACTTGGTTTCCCCTGATATCATTGAAGATTTAACTATGTAAAATTCGGAGCAGTTGTCTTGTTAAATTACAAACTATATGTGTCTCATTTGTACAATTTTATCCATTAATGTACTTCTTGTCATAATAAACTAAAACGTTTACATTAGTTTATTTGTTTTAAAATTTATAAATGAATTTTATGCCAAAAGTTGTTACTGTTGAAAATTATTAATAGATTAAAATAAGCCTCTTTTCATAAGAAATTATTTTATAGCTTTTGAAAATTACTAATATCATTTATCGCATGTTATCAAGTTTCATTTTAAAACATTTCATTTATTGATGTACTCACTTGTTGCTAAATAATGATTTAAAGTAACTTCGGATCACGAAACAAATCTTTTCAATGGCAAAACTTTAACTCTCTAAAATTTCAAATCTTCCATAAGCAGTCAGAAATATTTAAAACAATTTATGTATTTTGTATCCCTTAATTTACTTATGTTAACTTATAAATTTAATTTTATTAATGTATATATATATATATATATTGATGTTCCAATTACAAGTAAAATGTATTTCGGTACTTTTTAATTTTAAAAAATAGTCTAATAGTTACTAAAAAAATATCTTATTTTTTTCGAAATTATATTTGTACTAAAATATAAAATCCAAAAAAGTTGTTGAAAAATATTTTTTTCAACCATATTCAATAATTTATCAATAATTGATTTTGTAAATTCAAGATATTTCGATGTTGAATAACTGTTTCTCTTAGATCTAAATAACTGCAATTAATTGCGAATTTGAAAAATTATTAATTGGAACTGAGCTGCGTTTGGAAGACTACCTTTCTACAGAGAAAAAGAGACAACCATAGTATTTCAAAACTATAAATTATTAAAATGCTAAATCTAATATTTTTCATTTATTTTGACCTAAATTAATACAAAATAATGAAAAATATGTATAATAACTCTGCTTCAAAGGGTTATTAAACATAATTAGGTACCATCTAAAATCGAATTGATTTCTATACAATTTAATTGTTATCCACACATCAGTTTCTAGTAAAATTGTATAGAAATTCAATACTCTAAAAATCCTGATAACCAAATAAAGACATAATATTGTAGATAAGAAAATCATCAGTTAAATACTCAGATACTTTTTTTTAATTTGTAGAATGACCAAAACAATATAAAAGCACTAGGAAATAAAATTTGCTAGGAATAACTAGTAACGTTTAAAGATAATCCAAGAAAAAATAGTAAAAATTAACAATGTAAAAATAATTCTACATCACTAAAATAAAATCTCACTATTTCATTAGAAATCGCTAATATAAAACCTCTGTCTAAAAGACTTGCATGAAATATAAATGTAATAAAAGTTGGAAAAGGAATCATTTCTCAAAAACAGTTTCTGAAAATTCTAAGGGGTCTGCAGTAGAAAACAAATTGATTGGACTAACCTAGTTCCTGTTGGAGAGTGTTAAATTTCTCCTGGTTGGGAATTGCTCAAATATAAGCCAAAATCATTTATGGGTAGTAACATGATAAAATAAGATCCAAAAGTTCAGACAAACTAGGCAATAAAATGCCCAGAGTATGTAGCATGGTGATGGCTACTAATAGAGTTTACTTATATGAAGACTAGACAAAATTCCGTTGTGTAAGTTAAATTGAATAAAATAATGATTATGTTCATGTGAGATTTTAATTATTTGTGTATTTCTTAAAAAATAGCAAAACGATGAGTGCATTAATCACCTTATAGTGTATGTCTCTCACACTTTAATTTGATAAACAAACATAAGATATTCGTTAGATATTCTTTATTGAAAGACAAATAATGCAATAGATATGCATCATCTTAATACAAATTTGACTACAAGCGAAGTGCATTCACTTCTTGTTCATTTGTTTTACTTGGTTACATATTAAATTATTCATATAAAAGTATTTTTATAACACTATTCTGGAAGATACAGTATATTAAATACACAAGTTCTGCTCTATACAAAAGTGAAAAGCTATAAACATCAAAACAATTTTTCTAGTATAAAAATTGTACATGCTACAATATACTTTTATTCTTTTTTTACAGTAAAAGTTTACCATCTTCAGAGGAAAAGATTTTAACTAAAAACTATCTACTTTTAAAAACTATTATTCTAAGCAGATATGTTTACATACATTTAAATTCACTTTTTTTTCAAAACTTTATCTTAATATTGACATGACTAATAACTTATCATAGAGAATATTATTTTATATTTTGTTAAAATATATTATGTTTTTTTTTTACTTAATTTTTGCAAGAAAAATAAAAGAATTTTTATACGTAAAAATTTTAGTTTTTCAAACCAAAAAATGTCAATGAAATAAAATATTAAACTTATAATTATTTTTTAATTATATAATACATGGAAGAAAAATAGTCATAATTGTTTAAAGATAATTTTCAAAATGCTCAATATTTATTGTTTAAGAAGATAATAATAGTAAATTGCATTTTAACAAATTTGGGACTCATAAACGGGTTTTTTTTAAATTTATTCATTTGAGGACATTTCGAAACACTAGTCTAAAACTTATTTAAAAAAATAATGCTTATCATATTATAAAAGATTGCATAGATAACCTTCGCACCAATCTCTGCCTTCCAAGTGTCCTACTTGGAAGGATTTATTGTACTATTACAATATGATTGCATATCAAATATATTGCTACGTATAGGTATAATAGTAAATAGTTATTAAGCATTTTTAATTTCAAAAGCACTTAAAAAAAAGTTTATGTGTAGTCTTTGCCTCCGTCTTAACTGATCAAGTATTTCTTATTTGGGCAAGTTTGGATAGAAATTTTCATCACTATGTTTATAACAGGTGAAAAGACATCTTTAGTTCAGTCAGTTGAACTAAACAGTTCATAAGCCTATAATTCAGGGCTTGAAATTTCAGTTACGGTACTACCCAGACAAAAACAAAAATTTTACCATCATTTTCACTAAAAGTTAAAACAATTTTTAAAGTTTTAACAAACATAAAGGACATTTTGGTGATTAAAACCACAAAAGAAGGCAGTAACTGAATCTTATATTTATTGCAAAATAATAACTTCAAATAAAATTATGAAGTTCTGTTATCATGCACACATCATTAAAAGTCATGAAAATATAAAAAAGTATCAGAAAATTAAATTATCAAAAATGTTCCCTGACTTTTAACTCTCCAAGTCTGTATACCTTTGCCTTTCAGCCTTAAGCACCATTTGTCAATTGCCAACCTAGGATCAAACTCTGTTGGAGGCAAGGTTGGCAAGTTTCTGCCGAGGTGGTTAACACCACTGGTAGAAACTGGTTAAAACTGGCATGGCAGAAACCCTTTTCTGCCACATTTGTGGCAGAAATTCAGAAAATGACATAAAAGTTAAGTACTGAGATTGACATACAATGGATAATTCATAGAAATGTTAAACAAAGTGATCAGTGAAATTGCTGTTTACATTTATGAATCAGTGAATCTAACCAATTATATTACCTCTTACATACAGCAAAGATTAAAACTGTTACTGTTATAATAATTGGATTGTTGCCATGCAAATTATGTCTTCAAAAGAAAAAAAACTATTTGAAAGTAGCTCTACTGAGTTACATTAAGAGTTAAATGATAATAATTACTGAATTTCAGAGTTTAATATAATAAACTAAAATTTAGTATTTATATTTATTATTACATTTCTTTATTTAATATAAATATTTGATATACTGCACTGCACTCTTTATATTTAATATAAACAAAATAATATATATTTACAAACAATGAATTAAAAAGTTTGTTACAGTTACATTTTTCAGTTTACTTAAACAAAATGTCATTAAGCAATTACCAGAACTGATAAAGAAGTTTTTTTAGTTTCTGCCAGTTTTTGCCGGTTACAACCAGTTTCTGCCACTGGCATGGCAAAAACCAGTTTCTGCCGGCAAAAAGCCAACCCTGGTTGGAGGTGCAGGGCTGATTGTGTTCCGGAAAAAATCCGGATTTCCGGAATTTTTGCTATCAGTGATCCGGAAGTTTCCGGAGATCGAAGGTCCAGAAGTTTAAAAAAAATCATTGATCACAGAAGTTTCCGGAAATCAAATTTTCAATGGTGGAGCTTAAAAACACAGTTTATTTTATTTGTTTGTAAGGGAAAGCCAGAAAGATACTTTACAAGCTTATATTCATGATTAATATTAATTTTTTATCAGTAAATAGTTGTTATAATCATAAACTCTAGAAAGAAAGACATATTTGTAAATTTTAATTACTTCTCCAGATCATCATAGGTATGTGTAAATGGTATAGGTATGTGAAAAATTTTAAATATATTTTGAGTAAACTAAGAAATATTGAGAAAAAGGAAAAAAAAACCTTGTTTAAATGTTTTTCTAATTTTTCAATTTAAACTGTTTTTTTTTTTTTTTTAAACTCAAGAAATTTTTCCGGAATTTTGACTTGGGCTCACAATCACCCCTGGAGGTGTCAATTTATAGAATTTCTAAGCAAATCATCGAGTGTCACAGACATCAAAGAATTTCTGTTAGCTCTCTTCAGACTATTGTGACATACCCAAGTTGCTAATTGAGCAAAAACACTAATTCACAACTAAGGAAAATGTTTAATAGTTAGATTTAAAATGCACCATTTTACAAGTCAAAACTTACTTGCATTTCTAAATATTTGGTCGCCAGTGGCAAATAAAACTTTCAGCCCTGCCAAAATAATTTTTTTATAGATTAGAAAGAAAAAAAACTAATTTTATTAAATAATAAATAATAAATTAATTAGAAAAAGTCCTTATCAATTGCAATGGTTCAACAATAAAATATGAATGTTTATCAATATAACAGCAAAAAATAAATGCTTCATCATTTTAAACCATGATTAATTTTATGACACTAAAAACATGCTATTATATTACACTTTAAAGTTAAGCCATAAATGAACGCTTAACTTAACAGTGAATAAATAAATCAACTTCTCTTTCAGAACTTACAAAAAGCATTTTAACTGAATAGATTTTAAACAAATTCTCTAATAATAAATTAAACACCACTAAATGACAATTTTTTAAGCCATTCAATACTAAATAATTTATTTCAGAAGCATTTATAGAATTAAATTATTATTTATAGTTAGATATATTTATAGCTATATTAATTATTATTTATTTTATATAGATCATATGGAAAGTTCCATTTATTGCATGGAGAAATAACCAAATCCTTCCTTGTACTAACTTTCAATTAGTAATTATATGATTTAACTTAAGAAACAAACAAATTCACATGAGATAGAATGCATTCAATAAGGAAAATATTAGTTATAGTTATAAGAGATAACAAAGAAGATTAACATATTTTTAAAATTAATGTGGTAAATAATAACATCTAAAATATCTTTTTAATCTATTAATTTAAAGGATTTAATGAAAAAATATTTATTTTACATATGACTTATATTTACACTTTAATGTTTAACTTTTACATAATACTCTTTTTGGCCCATAAATACAATCAATTTTGCATCATAAAAACATTTTTCACACAACATCCACAAAAGGGATATATTTACATTTTTATATACTGGTATTAATTACATCATCTAAATACAACAAAAAAAACAGGTAGAAATTTGTAGATTATGTATCTATAAAAAGCACAAGTATAATACATACTTAACCCTCTAAGTGTTAGTCCTTGTACGAAATTGTACCAATATGCACTTCTTTCCCACACATTAACATGGGGAAACATTTTTGATGCAAGAAAGGCACCAGTTTAAAGTACAGAAAAAACTGGAACTAACACTCAAAAAGTTGATAGACTAGCATATATATCAAATAAATGAAACATAAAAAGGCAATTTCTTATTTCAAATGAAAAACTGAAGTAATAAATCTTGAGAAAATATATGTAATAACTTAATTGAATTAAAAATAAATGCAAACTAATGGAATGCAACTAATAAACTGTGTACACATGTATAATTAAAGTAAAAAAACAAGGTGAATAAAATACAGAAATGAACATATAGTTTCAGTTTTCTAAACAAGAACCTTTTTAGTGTCTTAAAACCAAAATGGTGTCTTCACACCGAGGAAGGTTTTTATTAGTGTTTTGAAAAATCATTGGTGTTTAAACACTGAGGGTTATTTTAGAAAACCAAAACTATAGTTTGTCCATTTCTGTATTTTATTCACATTGTTTTGTACTTTAGAGTATATAACAACAAAAAAAAATCTATCCTTTTGGGCATGCATAGCTGTAAGAAGTAAGTAGATAAGCATAATACCCAAAGTAGATAAAATAATACCATGCATATAAAAAAAAATTTTAAGAAGTAGCTGAATATGAATTTGGTATATTTTTAAACAGCAAATAAACTAGTTTTATACTGTTTGTTACATGTTATTTCACGAATGTAATAAAATTATATTGAACGCTTTCCTTATGCAGAATTCAATACTGAAAGACACTAAGAACCATATTTTTAAACTTTGTAGTTGAAAAGTGTAATTCTACACCTGGGGTGTAAAAGAAAAAACACCTCACTATTTTAGCTCCTATCACTTGATGTAAATCTCAATACCATTTGTGATTTATAACTTAGACTTGCTTTAAAAAAAAATTAAAAAAAACAATTTCCCAACTTATTTAAGTTGATACACATATTTAAATAAGCTATTAAAATATGTTAAATTTAAATTATTTTAATCTCAAATTTCAGAATATTAACTATTCCAGTCATTAAAGATGATTTTTGAAATATACCAATTTTACACAATGTTCTCAGTTTTTGTTCATATCCTGTAAAACATAAAGTCAATAAAAAAAAAAAAGCTAGACTAATTAATTTTATTAGAATTTAGCCAAAATTTATAGATAGTTTTTTTTTTTTTTACAAATTTCCTGTACATTATACACAGAAAAAAGTAAAAAATTTGGGGGTTTAATTATCAATCTCAAAACTCACTTATGTTTATTGTTGAAAATTTTAAATACGTTTTTTTTTTAATTTATTATTCATGAAATTTCATGTGTTTAAATTCAATTTAGCTTAAATCGGAACAAAGTTATTTAGATGACTTACAAGCAAAAAATTTTACAGTTGTCAATATTGTATTAGGCTTATTTTATGTAACATATCACAGAGTAAAATCAATTAACTATACAGAAATGGCAAAAAATATTAGCAATATATAGATAAGTAAGAAATAATCTTAATTATCATTTTACATTTTTACTATATTATATATATATATAAACGAATCTAAGATGAAATAACATTTAAGCACACATTTTTTCTTTAAATAGTAATCAGAGAGACCATTTTAGCATTATTTAATAAGAATATACTACTCATATGAAAGATTTGTTTCTTATTAATAAATATGTATTTATTTGACACATTACACTGGCCTCAGGTGAGAAAAACTATTCAAAACAGATAACAGCAACGAAAATAAAATGTAAGAGCTGCCTGTGCTAATATTCAATTTTACTTAAAACTTCACAAATAAAAAAATGAACACAGAACATAACTTATTATCATAAAAAATAATGAAAAGAACAACACCAAAAAAAATTATTACATTATGAAATAAATTTGGTAATATATATACAGAGGTGCCAACTTTTCAACTAACTTATCAATAATTAGAAGACAATAACGCAGAAATACAGATATATACAGTTAGCCTTGAGAAATTTATTAGATGTATAAATAGTAATACAATTATGCATGAATTATGAAGTAAAAAAAGTTACACTTAAATAAAGGTACTATTAAAAATTATACAACAATGGAATTTTATTTTTTATAATAAAATGATACAATTAAATTGATTACTGGGTATCAATGTCCTAGTTTTTTGGTTAAATTAGAAATAGCCATTATTGTCTTTTTATCATCCTGCATTTAAACTACTAAACACTTTTTCTCACAGCATTACAGATTTGAGTTTACATTCTTTTACTTTTCTATAAGAGCAGAAGATTAAGTTTCAGAATAGCTTGTAGGAAGAAGGAAAGATAAGATTTCTCTTTTTTTCTCCTCTTCTATCAAATCGTTTTTGTTTTTACTTATTGCTTTTAGAATTGTTTAAGGAGTTAAAAAAAATAATAATACAGATTAGTTTCAAACAACAAAATTTCAAAACTCTTGGTAATTAAGGGGAAAAAACTATATTTTATCACTCAACCCTAATATTGAGTATGGAATTGCAATAATTATAAATAAATCGTAATAGTTGGCAATTCTGTAAATACATTCACATCATAAAAAGATTATCATAATTTAAGACTTGTTCATTGCTGTCAACGACTGTGAGCGTAATACTGAAGAGTTGGTTGGCTTAACACTTACAGCACTGGAACGTCCTGATGAATGCATTGATGTTCTACTATATGACTGAGTTGAGCTGCAAGGATATGAGGATCTTGAAGATGCTCTAGATAAAACACCAGATGACCGACGGTCATAATCTTGAAGCAAATGTAATCGATTTAAATCTCTGGAAGGCTTTGCAGATTCCAATCTTTTCAACAAGGCCTAGATAAAATAATTTCAAAAATGAAACATTTTAAAAGTTACATAACAAGCTGAAAGTTATTAATTAAACAATAAATATTATTCAATAAATTTAATTGATGTATAAAAAAATCACTAAAATAAAATGTTGTGTATTTAAAGTGTGACCTTTTACTAATTATAATTTTTGTATTATAAAGTTGTTGCCATGCATGCATCCTTTTCTCCGAGCAAATACAAAGTAATACTATCAGAACCAGGGTTGGCAAGATTTTGCCGCAGGTGGACAAAACCATGGTAAATACCGGTAAAAACCGTCCTGGCAAAAACAGGTTTTTGCCAAGCAAATTGGCAAAAACCTATATTTTCCAAGATAAGAGGACAAAAACACATTTTTTGGTACAAAATTATTCCTAAAATTGAAATATATACAATAAATATAAATAATTACAAAAAAATTAACAAATTTATTATTCCATAATTAAATCATAATGTAATAATATATCATTTTAGTAGTTTGAAGCATTATTGATTGGAAAATTTGCGATTATTCTCTTTTTCTCCAGTGAAATGAACTTATTTTAAATATAACTATAATTTAAAGCATAAAATATCTATCAAGATGTGTAGTTAATTATTGTACAAATAATAATTTTTTATAATATAATAATAATATACAAATAATAACATTTGTTTATTTGTAAAAAAACATTTATTTAAAAATTCTAAAATGAAAAGAGGTAAAAAACTTTCAATGTTTTAACCCACTGACGGTTCTGCACGTAAAAAGTCGCATTTTAACCTGCAGTCTTCTCTGCATAGCAAAACCGGTTTTCCCATGTTAATTGATAGGGGAACTGTGTGTAGGGGAGAAACATTCTCCCAATTTTGCCCATTTCCTTAACCGCCAGTGGGTTAAAAATTATTGCCTTTATATTAATTATTAATATGCTAAAAATAATTTTTTCATGTAATGTATCAAAATTATTATTCCTTATGATTGATTTAAATTTGTTTCAAGTATTTTGTAATAATATTTAATCAGCAATTTAGATAATTTGGTTTTTGCCGGTTTTTACCATTGTCCTGGTAAAAAACCCTTTTTGCCGGCAAAAACTCCAACCCTGATCAGAACTAATCCAAGGTATTACTTCTGATAATATGAACACAACTTAAAAATGTTTTTCCTACTACCCTCTATTACACTGTAATTTCATACTTTTTATTCTGGCAACTTAGTAATGGAGGGGAAAAAATTTCTCTTCTCTCTGTACATGTTCTGTCTTGTGTTTTATTTTGAATTTTCATGTTGTTTTTACTTGAAATTTACTTGAAACGTGTTTAAAAATCTGTCTCTTTTAGTGATATAATATTTTTATTGCTAATTTATTTTTATTGCTATAATGATAATATATTTTTATTATAATGATAATATATTTTTATTGCTAATTTATCTTCTTCTAAGTTTTCATTAATTTTTATAAGGTTTTAAAAAAAAATTATTCTTTTTTCTGTTTAAAAAATATTAAGTCTTCTTTGTTAATTGTTAAAAAAATCCTTTTAAATAATTTTTTATTATTTTCTCCTTTATTCTTTCTTGTTATCGACATTCTTGTTTTCTTTATGCATCTTTTAGCCATATATACACAGTTGACACTTAATATGACCCTCGTGGTCCTGGCAAAAAAAAAGACATTATGATAAGAGGTTGTTATAATTTGAGTACACAAATATATTTTGAGTACAATAAATATTATCCAATACCATACACAAAGCTAAAAGTAAATACTTGACCAATTGTAACAAAACAATATTTTTAAGAATTTCATAACTAACTAAAAATTTTGAATAACATAACTTTTTCTTTCTATGGTTAACATTAATTTGTATATAAAAGTTCCCTTTGAAATAATACATTTTTAACTGCCATTTTCGCTACAAAACTCAAGATAATTGCAAAGACTACATATTTTAACTCGGAAATAGACAATGCAAAAGGATTGGCATTTAATAAAAAGAATTAATACAATTTTCAAACAAAAAAAGTGTGATTGCTAAATTTATATGCTATGAAAAGAAAGTTATACAGATTATGAAAGTCAGGGGTCTGTTTAGAAGAAATTCGGGTTCGTTAACAGACCCTTCACAAAATATCTTTTCATAAAAACGGACCCTTCACAAAATATTTTAACTTAAAAACGGACCCTTCACAAAATGATTTTTCTTTTAATTGGACCCTTCACAAATTTGTTTATCTTCATTATTGTTTTGTCAATTGAATAGATCCTTCCCAGGGCAGAAAACAAGAAAAATGGATGTAAACCAATTAAGTTTTGTCTTCGGCAGACAATTCTTCCATTATTCATCCGAAAAGAATATTCTGCGTTCAGCAGTATAGGCTAAATACCAAATATTTGTATGTTGCATCTCTAATTTAAAGGCAGCAATTGCTATTTATTTTTGAAAATTTAATTTTTTTTTATTATAATTTTACAGTGCTGAGCATAATCTTGTATCTATTTACAATTTAAAAACTCCCTGAAAAAGTTTTTTGCAATAACCGGACCCTATTTGCACAAGTTCATAAAAGCAGGACCCTGGTTGAAAGAACATGAGTAATTTTTTCACAATTTCACAAAAAACGGACCTTTTACAAAATGTCTGAACAGACCCCTGAAAGTACTACCATCTATGATCAAGAAAAATATTAAAGATGTCATGTACTAATACTCTTCCTTCAATTAAAAGAGAATACAAGTTTTATATTTATTCTATGATAACAACATCAAAGGATTTAAATATTTTTTTAAACTTTTTTCTAAATAAAATAAACACAAATAATATATTGGAATGAATGGTTCAGTGCAGACATTTTAATGTCTCTTGTCTTGTCATGATGCAATCACAAGATTGTCATGTTCACATGATGCAATCTTGTGAATAGCAAATGTGACTTTATGCATCGATCGTCATTATAGAGGAGTGAGTGTAATGCAGGTTGTGCTAAGGAGCATAGACTACAGATTGTAAAAATCGCACTACATATTGTTCTAGAACAATTTACCTTTTTATTTCAAATTTTAATAAGATTCTATTAAAATTGAAAATACAGGTTAAATAATGATCTTCTTGAAATCTTTTCGTAGCACTTCCACTTTAATTTTATCTATAATTTTTTTCTCTTGCAAGATTTGAAATACTCATTACTATACTTCAGCGACCTTAGATTTTACCAATTAAATTATATCTTATTTAAAATTCTTTGGAGATAATAACCTGCCAAATTGTCTACATTTTCGTTTCTGAATAATGAGTTTAATGTTAATACATAAGAAATAATATTTTTATTACATCTTTTTTTTATTTTTTTATTTCTAATTAAGTTAATTTCATTTTCTTGTAGAATTTTAATTAATATTGTTCATTGGATTTCATTATGATTCAACCAATAATGTATTCTATCATGATTAATTTTAGGTGCAAGATGAATTCTAAACCTTTTGAATCAGCTTTTATGAGGTAATGCAATTTTGGAATTTACCTATTCCTTTTTACTGTAATTTTGTTTCCTTTATTTGTTCGTATATGGGATAGTGTTCCTCGATAAATGGGGTATAACCTAACTGAATAGACTTTCTATAAAAAAAAATTTCTATTAAGTATAGTTAAAAACTACTCTTGTCTGGGAGAATAAGCCCTGGAATATTGGGGTAAAATTCAATCTTATTTCATATCTAGGAAAAATTATAGCTAATTTTTATAATGCTTGGTAAAGTAACCAATTGTTTTGAATAATATTGTTTAAATAAAAATAAAAAAGTGGCAGGTAATAAAATCAGATGATTTGATTGGTTTTGTTTAAATACATAAAGATATGAAACTTGTTATGCCATAAAATATCTGGGCAAACTAATAAATATTATTGCATATTTCTAATAAAATTAACCAGAATAATGGGCAAATTATAAATAATTTTTTGTTGTAAATAATTATTTCTTGAATATTGAATTTAGTTGTTAATTTCGACACACAGTTTGAATTTACTTAAACACATTAATTTATATAATATTAATAGATGTTATTTTGTTTATATAAGATATAAATCAATTTGTTTAATTTATTTTATATTATATTTTTTTATTCATTTATTTATTTATTTTTTGCTGCCTATCCCAGATTTAAAATTTTATTTGTAATAAATTTAAGAGGTCAATTTATTTTAATAGGATTACACTTAAATTTAATTGATTAAATAATTTTTGTTAGTACCTAAGAAGAAAACAACTCTACTTGATTCTAAACTCTTTTGTATTTCAAATATACATTGTACTAGATTTAAAACAGTAATTTTCGTTGATTTGACTTTTGCACAAAACTGTGCCTCCCTATTTATCATGAATTTAAATAAATACGCAATAAGAAAAATTATTGTTTGTTTCACTTTGTCATCATAAATTTGCCTTTGAACTGTTCCTTAGACTTTTCTAAAAATGAAAAGGTAAGTAGTATTGTTTTTAGTGTATTAGATTTCTCATGAGAAATACTCTGTAAAGTGAATGAATCTTTAGTCCAATTTTGTATATTAAATAAATAGAATCTTATTAATACAACTAATCAATTGACTCATTACAAAAGTTCAACTAGGTTATGCCAAACAATCAGCAACAGTTCTCTCCACTAAATTTATGCTATACCGATATTTTAATTATTTGCCTGTTACTTTTAATTGCTACCAATTTTGATTAATTGATTTACTCAGAGGGAGGGGAGAGAGAGAAGAGATTAAATTAATTTAATTAAGAATGAAAAAAATAATGAACTTCAGATTTATTGAATTTTATTCTGTGCATTAGCTGTAAGTACATAAAACGCATAATATATGATAAAAATGCAAAGAAAACAAGAAAAGAAATAAAAACAGAGGGAGGGATTTCCATATCGTGATCTGTGGCAGAATAATTGCAAAGTCTTGGCAACTTCCGGACAACAGCCAGCAAGAAAAAAAATATCACAGAAAGGGACAAACTCGAAAGATATAACTTGTAGCCACTCACATGGCATAATTTTTTTACAAAAATTCACAAGTTTAAAATCTATTTGGCAATTTCAATTGGCCCGACAGATCAAGATATGGAAATATCTCAAAAAGAGAAAACATTTTTTTAAAATATTACAAAAATTAAAATTAACTATTTGACACAGAATTTTTATAAAATATATTTTTCAAATTTTCATACCTTTTTACATTGTTTTGTATTATTTTAGGTCAAAAAAAGTAAAAAATATTATATAAACCTTTTAATAATTTATAGTTATAAAATAAAACATGAAAAAAAAAAAATTTTTTAAATAATTTATAGTTTTAAAATCCCTTTGGACCTTTGAAATATACAAGGTACTGATATGGAAATACTGGAACTGCTAAGGGCCGTTTGAAATTGTTTAAGCACGAAATCCAAAATCCTTAAACCTGATTGGTTATGCGAAAGTTGGATTTTGTTAAAAAAGAAGTAAAAGGGTTTATTTATAGCCATTTATACTTCTGATCTCTTGCTGTTGGAATCATTGTCATTATTACATTTTTTAACTGTTATTTCATTTTTAATTCTTTTTTTGCGCGGTACCGGTTGCAAATGGCGAACAAATGGAAAATTTACATTTTTTTTTCAATAATCAAAAAGCAATGTTGATCCCAGTAATAAATGCCAACTTGATGAGATTTCAAAAATTCGGCACGAGAGGGGGCTAATCTAGGATTTTACCTCAAAATTTTGTATCATAAGATATCACCAGTCAAATGCTATATATTGTTTATAGAACTCAAGCACATAACAAACAAGGAATTTAAGATTAATGAAAGAAAAGAAAATTCTCTGAAAAATCTACTCAATTGATATATCAGATGAGATAAAATCAAATAAATTCAGATTTCAGGAAACTCACCAAATTGTCTAATTCTATCTGACGTTGTTGTTTGTGTCGATTCACTGTTGCTGATGAGGATACTCTAGGTGAAGAATTTCCTAGTGATGTAACTCTATTTTGTTGAGCAATTATCTTCTTTAACAAAATTTGGTTATCATTATCGATTCGACGCACCTCCTCATTTGTGAAAGATAAATTTTTTCGGCATCTGGCATTGTGCGTTAAAATAGGACTTTTACATTTCCTCACATAACTCGAATTTATGTTTTGTTTCATTTTCAGTCTTTTCATAGCTCGTACAAGTTCCTGAATATCAATAGTGTCACATTTAGGACATAACTTTGTATCAGACATGCTTTCAACATCATCAGTAAATTTCACATGATCCTTTTTTATTTCTGAAGAAATATTCAAAGGAGGTGATAGAGTTTGTTCTTTATTAAATTTACTGGAATTGGGTGTAGAGCAATGGAAAGGTGATGGCAAAGGACTAACATCAGTCATGGAATCTGATTCCCCTTCATTTAATTCAAAAGAATCAGCACTCACTGAAGACATGTCTGATTCAGACTCTGACATGCTCGAAATAGAGCTGTCATCAGATCCATCATCATCCTGGAAAACCTTGCTTTTAAAACGTGGACTTACAGCAACTTTTCTATTTGGCATAGAAGGACTCTTTCGACCGCATTTATTATCTTTGTAATTAAATGGAGTAGGGATGACAGTTTTAATAGTTTTCTGTATTGCTCCAGTGGTATTATCGCATGATATGGTTATAACAGGTTGATTAAAATCATAGCTTGAAGCAGAAGGAGACCCATTGGAAATAATTGCATCTTGGTTTAAAGAACTGATTTCACAAGCAAGCTCGGAACAATCTGCGCCCAATGTCATGTGATTGACTTCAGTCAGAACATTAGATTGCTTAGCTGGAATGGAAGAACTATTACTTTCGTCAAAAAAATCAAAATCAATTTCTCCCTGTACATCTAAATCTGCTTGAGAAGCTCCTAATCCGACTCGAAGAGACATTGTTTCATTTGGAAAGCTTGGGAAACAAAACAAGAACAAAAACAAATAACAGGACCATGACCTCAAGCTATTTTTTCTTCAGTTCAGTTTATTTAATATTTCGCTTCATTGCCAGATCTTAAATTATAAAACATATTTATTTGTGGCGAAGTTAGCGAGCTCTAGTAGTGAAAATTTAAACAATATTGTGTAATATTTTGTTATAATATATTTGCCGGTGTACTTTTCTAGTTAAATATATTATCTATATTATAACAATACTTCGCGGTTTGTTATTGATGTATCGTTTAATAATAAATAAATTGTTTTAAAAAAATTTATGATTTGACCTTTTAAATGTGTGTTCTATTGCAGTTTAAAAACAAAAGCTGTAATTGTTATAAAATGTGTTTATCTTGTTGAAATTTGACCAGAGACATGGCGGATAGCGCTAGTGAAAGCGACAGCAGTTCAGTGGATGGATTATGTACAATTCCTATTTCATTAACTAGAGAACAGTTTCAAAAACGAATTGAATCTCTACAGCAAGAAAATAAAGTTCTTAAGCTTGAGCTTGAAACTTATAAATTTAGAATTAAGAGTTTGCAGGAAGAAAATAAATATCTGCGACAAGTTAGCGTTAACATAGTAAGTCTATACAGACAATAAAAATCTAAATGTTTCGAATTATATTTATTTCTAACATTGTTTCAGGTTTCGCATCTGTTGATAAGGTGCGTTTAATGTGCGTCCTTTAGCTTTTCAGTATTTCATAGATGAATAAGGTCATCAAATTATAGTGATATTTTAAACGTGTCTATATGCCCCCCTTGATTATCGTAATTGTCTCTAAACAAGAAGGCTGTAAAAAAAGTTTTTGTCTTCCAAATTTTTCGTTCTTTAAAGTTTAAGAGTGTCTGAAAAAGACAGGAAATTGATGATTTTTGGGGGGAAATCTGGAAGATTGAAATTCTTTACAGATTTTAAATTTTACTGTTTAAGGGGGATATTCGTGATCTGTCGCCCCAACTACAATCTCCAAGGTGTAAAATAGATTTTGAACTTACAATTTTTTTTAAAAAAAAAAAGCGTGTAGATATATGCAATCTCAAATTTTTTTTTTTATTATAACATTTTCTTAAAATATTAGTACTTTTAAATTTCTTATGTAATTTTAAAGCACAGTGTTCAGTAATTTTAAAAGTGTGCTCTAATTTTCATTTAAACTTATGTTGTTGATTTTTTCCTGTACTGGCTGTTCGTTTTTGTCAACTGAAAATGTCCTTATGCTTGTTGCTTTTCCTGAAGAAAAACCTATTTCTCTATGAAAAAGTTATGTATTTAAAGTAATCATTATAATATTTTGCGAAACAGTTGGTTAGTTTATGTTTTCAATAACTAATTAGCATGCTCAAAAAATTGTTTGGGAAAATGACTAGCTTCTAGAAATTTTAGCTCTTATTATGAGATTTATTTAGAGCTGGATGAGATTTCCTTTAATTTATTATAAGAAATATGTTTAGTGCAAAGTTTCTATAAATCTTGTTTTCCTGATAATTCTTGATGCTTAAAAATTTTATATAATTAACATTTCAATTTTTTTTATTAAGAATATTCAAACATATTCATTTATTAGAAATCTGAAAAACAAAATAATATCAATTGGTATTCAAAGGATATAATAAATAGGTTAAAGCAGGCCACGATACATACAGTTGTCTATTCTTTCTTGTCTGTATTTAGTGATATTCAAAACTTGTGTCACCATGTAAAAATTGTGCAAAATTTCAATTAACTGAACTTTTTTTATTTATTAAATAGATTTAAATTTGCTTTTAATTTCAGTTGTTTGATGTATTTTGTTTTCATTTATTAGCAAGCTAAAGCTGAGCAAGAAGAGGAATACATTAGTAACACTCTTTTAAAGAAAATCCAAGCCTTAAAGAAGGAGCAAGAGGCATTAGCAATTAATTATGAGCAAGAAGAAGAATGTTTGACCAATGATTTATTTAGAAAGTTGTCCCAGGTTTGCATAAATTTTCTCAATTTATTTTATAAAAATTAAAAAGTTTCATGAATTATCCTTTTAGATTTTAAATTAGTTATTTCAGTTTGTCTGTTATTTATTATACTAACTTATGTATTAAATTAACCTAATTTAGTGTGCTTTTCTTTCAATATATTTATAAGGTGCCTTAAACTTTTCATGTTCTCCTTAAAATTTGTATGATAATTCTATTAATTCAATTGATACAAGTATTGTAAATTGAACACCATTAATGATATTGAAAAATATTACTAAGAGAGATCTTTTTGAATGTTTCTTCTTTTTCTTCTTCCAAATAAACGTTTTTAGAAAAAAAACTTTCAAATAAATAAATGTTTTTATAAATATAATTTGAGCTTGTAAATAATTAAAACATTTTTACTTTTCTATTTAATCACACACAATTTTGCTTTTTTTTTCTAGTGATTCATTTTCAAGAACAGGGATGAGATTCTTCCGCGGATTTCCGCTTTTTTTCAGATTTTTCCATTTTTTCCGCTAATTTCCGCGGAAAATTTTGTTTGCACAAGTTAAAATATTTTATGAGGAATTTAATTTTCCGCGGAGCGAAATTATTGAAGTCCTCATTCCTCCCTCTGAAGTTTCTCTAAAAATCATTTGCTTGGGATAAAACTCCTGGTTGACCTTTATACAGGGATGAGATTTTTTTCGCTTTTGTCTCTCGAATTTCAGCCTTTTTACAAAGAACTCCGATTATCTAAAAGTTTTTTTTATTATTTAAATATCCCGTTTTTTTTTTTTTTTTTTTTAAAATTCAGTCCTTGAAGTAAAATAATTATATTTATTTACGATTTTCAAAGATAAACAGAAAATTCAAACTACGTCCTAGCTGCTAACCCTTCTGCATTTTTTTCTTATATGAGCTATTTTCTCCGATTTCAAGCACAGAAAATAAGATTTTCCGTATTTTTTATCCGTCCGCAGGATAGCTCGTATTTTGGTAATTCAGACGTCGCTGCTTCTTGTATTCTGGCGTGAAAACAAACAAAAATAGAGAAAAAAAATAGAGGTGGATTTGGGGTGAAAATATTTATTTGCTCATTCAATTAATCTTGTAAATTTTTATTTATTATGTCTATGCAAAACAATACAAACAAGCCTTCTAGAAATCCCAAGTCCGGACTCTGCAAATATCTCGATTCTTATTCACGCGATTTTAATATCAATCATCGATTTTCGTATTTACCTGATTTAAAAGTTGCGCATTGCGATTCTTATTTACGCTATTTAAATATCGTGCATTATAATTCTTATTTACAAGATTTAAAAATCCAATATCGTGATTTTTTTAAACGAGTTTTTAAAGCCCTATGTAGCAATTCGTATTCACGCGAGCTTAAAATCCAATGTCGTGATTCGTTTTTGCGGTTGTATATATCGCGCGATTTAAAAATTATGCATCGTGATCTAAAAATTACGCATCATGATTTGTATTCTCGCATTTTTTAAATTCGATGTAGAGTTTCTTATTCACGTGATTTAAAAGCCTCATATCGGGATTTATAATCGCATGGATTACAAGTTTAAAAATCGCACTTTTTTGTCAAAATTTTGGTTATATATATATATATATATATATTTTCGGATTTCCTCTTTTTTACTTTCTGACTACTCTCATCCCTGCAAGAAGTACATTATACGAACTTACCTCCATAATGGTCGCAATACTAGCTTCTATTTACACTGTTTTTCAATGCAGTATGTTGTACTTGTGCTAAAAACAAATGCAAATTTACTGCCATTAAAAAAATTCAAATCTGCATTATTTAATATAAAATATTTTCAATTCTGTTGCCTACTGTGTTTTAATGTCCGAAACTCGTACTTATAGTGGTTTGTGAAATTTAGTGGCTGCCAGACAGATTTTAAATTAATACTAAAGTTCAATACATGTTTTGCATTGAATGCAGATATCTCCCGAAAATAGCTAAAATTGAAATCAATGTATTTCCATGTACGCAACAGCTAGATGGTGAAAAAATTTGGTTAATATATTGTTTAAAACTAATTAAGGTCCTACGATTGACCGGGCGGTTGAAGAATTAGAATAATTTAACACAGTTGTGTGATGCATGCATATCATTAAAGTTTTAATGTTATACAAAATAATTTTGTCTGATGACCAAGTTGGTCACTAAAGGTAGATAGTACTTAATATTCTTTGGGTAATTAAATATCTTTTAGCTAAAACTAAAATAATATTTTATTGTAGACAATATATGATTTAAATACTGATGTTCATCATTAAAGTTCAACTTGTGTTTTTATCTTTGTTTTCCGTAGACCTATTATACAGAATAATTTATTTTCCAAACCTGCAGGAATCCAGGATTTAGGATTCAGAACTACTCATTGCATATTATTTTCTTAATCCTTAGATTAGAGGTGCACAATTTTTTGAGTGAAGGGCCACTTGCAGTGCACATAGATTAATGAAGGGCCACTTGCAGTGCACATAGATTAATGAAGGGCCACACTCATATTTAGTCATGTTAGCAGCAAACATGATAATTTTTATCTAAACTTTACTGTTCTAAGCAACAAATATTTTTATCAGTAAACTTAACATATCAGCAGAAAACTAAATACTTTTAATTATTTGAATTTAATTAAAACTAAAAAAACTGATACATTTTTCAAAAAACTTTTTCACAATATATATATATATATATATATATAACATAAATATTTGGGAGGAGGGGATATAAATTCTAACCAAAAAGAAGCTTATGGAATGAAAGTGCAAAAAAGTACGAATTTTATAGAGTACTCTAAATTTGATTTAAATATTTAATAAAAGAAAATTTGTAATGTTCAAACAAAAACCAAATTAAAAGAAATTTTTTATTGTGTCCTGAATTTCCCGTGGGCCACGCATCAACAGTCTGCGGGCTGCATGTGGCCCTCAGGTCATAGGTTGTACACCCCTACCTTAGATGGTTTATCCCTATATCACCTTTAGCATTAAATATTGATTGTTCACAAAATGAAATTATGATTCTTTTAACTTTTTTTTTTATGTAAAAACTGGATTTATCTGTATTTTACTTCACAATTGATTTCTTTAGTGATTTTACCACAAAAAATTTATTTCACATTTTTATTTATTTATTTATTAGCTTCGTCAAGAAAAGGTTCACTTAGAGCAGACACTTGAACATGAGCAAGAAGCTTTAGTCAATAAACTTATGAGAAAAATAGAAAAACTTGAGGCTCAAACTCAAGCTAAGCAACATAACTTGGAACAACTACGTCGAGAAAAAGTGGAGTTAGAAAACACTTTAGAACAAGAGCAAGAAGCTCTCGTCAATAAGCTATGGAAGCGTATGGATAAATTAGAAGCTGAAAAAAGGTTAGGAAGTTTCTTATTTCGGTTTAATGAAAAGCAGTTTTAAAATACATTGTGTTCTTTGTTTCAATTTAGTCATATTAGTATATAATAAATCAAAACAAGGAAATTTTCTTGTGAAACAATGTCATGAATTTTTAAATGTAAAAAATTTAAAGTAATAAACCGAAAATTTTCAAATAAATAAAGATAATTTATCCAACTCATATTTTTATGTTCTAAGTTGAATGTCTATTATTTATATATTGATTGGTTTTGTTTATTTTTTAATAGTGTTTAAAATAATTCATATGTGTCATAACATACATTTTCAATCGACAGACATATATAACAATTAAATTAATTAAAATAGTTTATATGTGTGCAATAATAGCAATCAATAAATTTTAAAAAAATCTATATAAAAAGTCACATGTGTTTTAAAATTATAGGAAGAAAAAGTCAAATATAAATTGAAAGCAGGGTGTGCTAAAAAAAAAACACAATTTTTATGAATGCTCCAAAACTTTGTCTTGATAAGAACATTAAATATCAAATTCACTTTTAAATAATTTCAGATGCATTATAGTTTATCATATAGTTTATTTCTTTAAAATTTATTTATTTGACTTAGGATGTTACAAGAGAAGCTAGAACAACCAGTTTCAGCTCCACCATCTCCTAGAGATATCAATAAAGGTGACACTGCTGCTAACTTAACTTTGCATGTTCAACATTTGAGAAGTGAAGTTGCTAAACTAAAGATGCAGCTTTTAAATGCTCAGCAAGAACGTAAGACATTTTTTTTTAATTTTGTTACCTGTGCTACCTAATAACATAGCATTGCCAACAACATTAAAATTTAAATCATTAAGTACTATCTGCTTCTTTCGTCCTGTATAAAAATTTATAAAAAAAATAGAAATGATTAGATTCAAGATGTTTAATTGTAAAGAAGTTATAACTTAACTTCATGAAGCCACTAAATGTTTAATTTTTTTCCTATTATTAAAAAATGCTACCAGTAAAATAATGTTAAAAAAAATACTGCTTATCAACTTTCAATATTTGATTTGAAATTTTTCAAATTGCAATGAATTTTTGATTTGGAACCCCAGAAATGTTTAATTTTTGAGTGCTATTTTTGAATAAATAAGTTTAACATCTTATTGGATTCTAAAATAGCATTGCATTAGTTCCCAAAAAGGTATTCTTTGAACCCTAAGGTTACAAATTTGTATGTTCCCAGTTGTAATAAATGGATCTAGATTTCTGTAGTATTAAAAAAAAAATTCTGTTCTATGGAATAGCAATTAGGTTTAATGTTTCTATCACTATATTGCAAGCTGTGTGTAATTAATAGTTGATCATTCTAAAAACCATTTGCTGTATCATGATATATCCCATGAAAACTGGAAGTTATTATATAACATGATTTTTTTCCCCATCCAGATTCTGAAAAAATGGCCCAATTTGCTATGGAAGAAAAAAACGTAAAGGATGAAAATATAAGACTTCAAAGACGTTTGCAAATGGAAGTTGACCGTCGAGAGGCTCTTTGCCGCCATTTGTCTGAAAGTGAATCTAGTCTAGAAATGGACGAAGAAAGGTGCGCTTCTTAAATTTGATTCTAATCTATAACTCTAAAATTACACAATGGCATTCTTCAATTAAATTAAATTCAATTCAATTTTCTTCTAATAATTAAATTTTCTTGACTTAAAAAAGCCATAATTTTTTTTCCCTCTCGAAACTGAATGATGATGTTAACTGGAAAATTTCATGAATTTTTTTTTCTTCAGAAAACTAGTTATTGTAATTACAAATATATATACAATGAAAACTCTGTTAAGAGGACACTCTTGAGTCCAAAAAAATTGTCCGTTTATGAGAAAGGTACCCAAATAACGAAGTTTAACACAGTAATTTTTTTTGGAATATTTTCAATGATATAGAAATAATTAAATAATCTACAATAACTATCTAGAAGGATATTTATTTAACCTTTAAAATATATTTTTCTCTTTACATAAATACATAATTCTAGATGTAGCTACAGATAAATTAATATAATTTTTCTATTAACGCAAATATTCAAGTTAGTCATAGGATACCGAATAGGAGCTTTTAGTCCTCAGTCGATTTCAATTATTAGGTGTTCAACCCTAATACCTACCCATCACTTGATAGGAAAAATGGTTAATGGAATAATTAATAGTGGTTAAGATACCTCCTTGAAATTAAATCTCCCACAATTCACAGAAAAAATAAAGCAATGCATGCCTGTAAGGAACAAGGACCTATGGAGTTGATATATTCACCATTGATCATCTATCGAGGGTCTGAATAAATGTTTCATTTATATGAACACCTGAAAGACTATATTTCTGTTCCCCTTTTTTTTTAACCCAGCTGTGTTAAATACAGTCTTTAAGTTGATAAGAAAATTAAAGAAATTTTCAGTGGGTAAAAAGCATTGAGAGCATTTAAGATGCCATTTCAGCTTGTGAGGTCTTATAACCTGTGTCATCCTGATGAAAAGATCATAAGATGCCACTGTCTTAATTATTTCATATGAGCAGTATCATTTTCTCTCCTTTCTTTGCAAAGATAAGACAAAGTGACAGGAGATAGATTGATTCTTTAGAAGTGAAATAGCTTATCAATATTCTTAGTTATGGATAAGGCAAAAAATTTACATGCTTTAAAATGGTTTAAAGTTGTATTTTGTTTTCTTGGAATTTAAAGCTGGAATAATTTTTTTTATTATTATTAAATTTGAAGAAAAAAATGGTGTCTGGTTTGAAGAGATAGAAAATAGTGTTTCCGGCAAAAATGACTGTCCGTATCCGGTAAAGGGAGTGTCGAATTTTTATTGAATGTCCGTAATTGTTTATTCATAGAAGATTCATTAAGAATTTAAAATATGTATGTATTGAGAGGTGTCCATTTTGTTGGAGTGTCCATAACATGAGATTTCACTGTATATATATTGCAGGGATGATCAAGCTTCTTGATAGTCGAGGCATTTTTCAAAATTTGAAATTTTTCGCGAGCCGCTGCTAAATACGTATTTAAAAGGTATGCAAAAAAGACATTAAAAAATTTTTTTTACAGAAATTATATTTATTGAATACATATAAATAAAAGTACAAAATAAGTGTATTGAATTTAAATATTAAACACATTTATTTTACTTCTTGATGATTCTTTAAAAATTGGTGAATAATTGGTGACTGTAGCACTTCTCAGTAATTCTTTGAGATGCTGGTTAGTTAATACTGATCGGTGTTTGGATTTCACGAATTTTAAAGTGGAATAAAATTATTCATATATGTACGTTGTTCCGAATATTGAAATAATTCGACAAGCAGCCTTCTGGTACAAATTTCCAAAATTCAGTAATCGACGTCGACTTATATTTTAATTGTAGAGTTTGATCTTCCTGCATCTCTATCAATTCTAATTCTCCAGATGCTTTCTGGGTCATAATTATATTGGAAATGGAAAACACTCACCTTGAATTATGTTAATTTCAAGTGGATTCAGAACAGAATCAAGAGATGATTTAAAATATTTCAAGCCTTGAAATCTGTTTATGTTCGTTCGCGCAGTTTTCGATGAGTCATATCATTCTTAACTTGAACCAGTGTTTTCACTACAACGCGAGAATCTCGCATATTTTTTTCTTTTCTCGCATTAAAAGATGATTACCGCGAGAAATTTGCGCATTCTATAAACCAATTTCAAAATTCGCGAATTTCTCGCATTTTGAAAAAAATTGTCATTGCGCCATTTAGAATAAAATCCGTTTCACTTTTCTTCCTGGATCTTTCATTATTTTTAACATCTGCCCCATTATCTAGCTTCTCCATTTACCAATATTGTTCAGAACCTTTTCGAACAACAGAACACCATCTCTCGGAACCTCTTTCAGAACGAATTTCTCTGACGTTAAAACCACCTACACCTACGTTAAAACCACGTGTTTAAACTTAGGTAAGGTTTCTTCATGTAAGACGTTTAAATTTTTGCGCATTAATGTAAGATGGACAAATACCTTGTAAAGGCAATATCTTCTACTCCGAAACGGACAAATGAAAATGAAACAAATGTGGGTAGAAACGATTAAAACGAAACAAATGCGCATTTGAGCAACCTAATGAGAAAAGCTGATGAAAAAGTAGACGTAGAACATTTTCCATATGATGTGCAGCAAAAATATTCAATGCTTTAAAAATTAGAAAATGTTAAAAATGTATTATTATTAAAGAAATGATTTTTTTCCAAGCTTCTTTGCGTTTTTTTTTTTTTTTTTTTTAATTTTTAGAATTTTTACTTAACTTTCTGAAATCTCACCCTGTTTTTGAGAAAGAGTGAGAAATTCTCACCCATTTTTTTCCTGCGATGAAAACACTGCTTGAACGGAAATGAAATTTGTTACAATGTTGCACTTAGTCTTTCATATTTGTTGTCAGTAACTTAAAAGACGTTTTGAAACACGTTCTTTCCGTATAATAATTTTTTTTGAATATAATAGCGCAAAAATGAAAAGGGAAGTCGGGTACGTTTATCGAGAGCCACAAATAATCCTTCAAAGAGCCGCAGTTTGGCCACCCCTGATACGAGGGTTGTCCATAAAATAAGGTTCCCAACGAATTTTTACAATGAAAAATATGTTTATTGGCATTGAATAATATATGTTTGGAAAGCTTAGACTTCCCTCTATTTTTTGACGTAATTGGCGTTTAGATCAATGCATTTTTGCATGTGGTGTACCATCTTCTTTATGCCTAAGTCGTAGAATTCTGCCGCCGTGACGCGAAGATAACTTGAAACCTCTTCTTTCAGTTCTTCCTCGGTTGTGAAATGCGTCCCTCCCAAGTGTTTATTTAATTCAGAGAAGAGGCAATAATCACTGGGGGACAAGTCTGGGCTGTAAGGGGGTGTGTGACAGTATTCCATCCAAATCTGTTGATGAGAACAGTTATGGCACGGGCGGTGTGTGGACGTTGCCGTTTGTTGTCATCCGTCAGCATTTTCGGGACCGACCTTGCACAAACCTTGGCATATCCTAAGCGGTCTCTCAAAATGTTGTGAATGCAGGACTCGCTGACATCAGGGATCATCTCGCTGAGGTTCCGAATAGTTACCCTTCGATCTTTCAGCATTGCTTCTTCCACTTTCGCAATCGCTTTGTCCGAAAACGATGCCCGGCCAGAACGTTGTTCGTCTCTACACCATTTGCAGACATGTTGCACATTCATACACTTTTCCCCGTACACCTCACACAGTTCGGAATGAATGTCCACCGGAGGAACGTTTTTTGCACACAAAAAATTAATCACAGAGCGTAATTCGCACCTGGCGGGAGAAACAAATGAGAGCTCCATCTTTCACGGCTACCAAGACAAGAATGAATGTTGTAGACAGCTCACCGGGGCGGGAACTGGGAGAAAGGGAGCTAAGCTTCATGCCAGTCTCGCCAAATCCCGCCTAACAGCGTTCCTAGCATCCGCAGCTCCTTGGGAACCTTACTTTATGGACAACCCTCGTATATTGGATACTGACCCCAACAGAATAAAAAATATTTTTGTGTAATACAGTAGGGAACCGATTATCCGGAACGATCGGGACCATCACTATTCCGGATAACTGATTTTTACGGTTTTCTGAATCGCTACAAAAAGCAGTTTTTTTATTGTTAAACCCAACTAAAAAAAAAAATTTTTTTTAGGAAATAATCTTGAAAAGAAGAAAAAACGATGAAGTAATACACTAATGATTATTTCCAAAATGATGGTAAGGTGAACATCTTTCAAAAAAGAAAGAAAAATCCTAAAATCTTATAAGGAAAAAAAAATTTTGTTTAAAAAATGGCGGGAAAATTTATCGAATTTCGTTCCAGTTTTCTGATTTCCGGATAACGGGTTCTGTACTGTATTAAATTAATTGATGACATAGTTGTAAATATTTCTTGATAATAACTAAATTAACTGCCATCTATCAGTTTTTCAAATGGTGAAAAACATATATTTCAAATAGGAAATGTACACATTGTATTTAAAAAGAAATTAAATGCTGTGAAACTAAGCCCTTGCTTGATAGTGTTCGTGGATTTTTGGAATAAGCAAAGAAAAGAATAGTCCTGGGCTATTGTGGTTTACTTAATATCAGTTCAATAAAAATGAACTGCAAATGCTTTTAACAAATGGAAATGTCTACTTGGCAATTCATTGTTTGTGGTAAACTATTCTATCTAGCTACACCAAAAGAAGCTATACAAAAAAGAAGTCTAATCATTTAGTCTAGTCACTTTAGATTATAAGCTAGTAAATTTCAAAATTCTTAGCCAATACCCAAATCTTAAAATTTCTTATGATTGATTTTTTTAACATAGTAAATTTCAAATCAGAATACAAATTTACTATAAATTGAATAATTTTGTTAAATACAAATTCAAATCAAGAATCATTTTGCAGGAGTAAAGAAGCAATGAATGAAAGAGGATGAAAAACTTATTAATTTTTGGTAAATTTTTAATCTCGACCAGTAATATGAGGATAAACCTCAGGCAACATTATATTATTGTCAGGAGAAAATATATGGATGATAATATGCATCTTGCTACCACATAATCTGTTTTATTGACACAAACTGTAGGAAAAAATTTGTCTCATAATATTGCGAGATCCGTCAATACATTCTGTGTTTTGCTCTAGTTTTCTCATGTTTACATAATCTCTCTTTTTATATTATCTGGACATAATATAATTCTAATTACTTATGCCACATATCTGACAGAAATTACTGTTATCAAATTAAAAAAATATATAGGATTTGTTCAGAAAATTCCCTTTCATTTTTTTTCCTGGGATTTAGGGCAATGTATATATATTTTTTTAATAGAAAAAGACATTCGCCAAAACACAATTTTTTTTTTGCCGAATTTACGATTGTATCGCATTTGGCAAGATCGTGAATGCTTCGCTTGGACCCTGTTAATAAGTGACATCTGTGGATTAGAGAATTTTTTGTTCTCAATATATTGAATATTGAATGTTACACCTCATTCTAGTAGTATAAATTATCGTACAAGATTCACCTTTAAATTAAATGAGTAAATTTTTTTAAAGGCAATTCAATGAAATGTCAACATGTGGTCACATTAGTTCCAGATCTGTGCCTAGTCCAGTTCCATTGAATCATCCGTCTTTGTCTTCCAATCAGCATAGTCCAGGTTAGATTTTTCTTTTTTTATATACGCATTATATCTATCTTATTTATAATTCACAAATATATTGTTATTTGAGATATTTAGAAAACTCATAGTTGACTATAAGTAAAATAAGAAGCATTGACAATAATATTAGTTTGCTTTTTCGTTATCATTTAGTATGCAACTCTAACAGTAGCGTGCATGTGAGAACAGTCATAAGGCTGAGCGCAAACAGCTTTTTTGTTCCTCAATAAAATAGATACCCCACAAAGAAATGTTATATTCCTCAAGAACAAATTGTTAAGATAAGGCTTTCTGCATTCTAATACACTTCATCTATCAATCCTTATCTCCCTCTCTGCGAAGTGTCCACCATTTAAAAGGGGGCAACCACAAGCGTTTTGTAGCTTATAAATTTTGTGGTGGTGTTAAATTTCCTTGAGGAACAAAAAAGCTGTTTGCGCGCAGCCTAAGAATTCAATTGATGATTAAGGGCACTGAAAATTTGAATTTAATTACTATTATATAATGTTTTGTGACAGAGTAGCAGTTTTTGCTGGCAAAAGGGTTTTCTTGCCAGGACAGTGGTAAAAATCAACAAAAACCAAATTATCTAAATTGCTGATTAAATATTATTACAAAATACTTGAAGCAAATTTAAATCGATCATAATAATTTTGATATGTTACATGTGAAAATTATTTTTTAAATATTAATAATGTAAGGGTAATAATTTTTAAAAGATTACGTTTTTGACCTCTTTTCATTTTAGAATCCGTAAATAAATATATTTTTACTAAATGATGAATAAAGTATTGAATTTGCGCGAATTTAAAAATTGCATTGATACTTGTATATTTTAATTAACTACACATGTTGATAGATATTTTATGCTTTAAATTATAGTTATATTAATTTAAAATAAGTTAATTTCACTGGAAAAAAGAGAATAATCACTAATTTTTCGATCAATAATGTTTTAAACTACTAAAATGATATATTAATACATTATGATTTAATTATGGATTAATAATTTTGTTAATTTTTTTTTAATTATGTATATTTATAGTATATATTTCAATTTTAAGAATAATTTTGTATCAAAAATGTGTTTTTGTCCTCTCATCTTGGAAAATATAGGTTTTTGCCACTTTGCTTAACAAAAACCTGTTTTTGCAGGACGGTTTTTTCTACCTGCAGCAATATCTTGCCAACCCTGACAATATAAATATATTATGGATATAATTTTTCAGCAAATTTAATCATGAAGTTATAGTACGTTATGTTTATGTTCAAGTTATAGATGATCAAGATACTCGCCAATTAGAACTTTAATATTTTTTACTGTAAAATAATTTTTTTAAATGTTAAAAACTTTTTGCTGGTAATTCTGTTTACAATGTGCTTCTTCTTTTTTTAAAATTTAATCTCTGAAGATATTGAATCTGTGCTCATTAATCACTTAAAAAAATAGTTAAAAACATGAATCTAAATGTTTTGTGTTTTTATCTTTATACAGCCATAAATATATCTGGTAGTCGTGAATCAACTTCTCCTGCAAATCGTTGTCATCACTGTAATCAAAGTCTGACTCAGCTTTCTATATTATCCAGCCAGTCGCCGCCACCTGTATTCTCTCCAGGATCAACTGTAAGTGTATTATGAATTTGTCCCCAATTCTGCAGATTTGTTTAACATTTAGCTAAAAACAAAATGTTAAATTTGAAAAGAAAAGTAATTTATTATAATTTTATAATGATGAATCCAGCTCCTGACAGATAAAAAAGAGCCATACAAGAATATTTTATCGGACAATGCTCATTCTTTTGAACCATCTAAAAAAATGGGTGTTATACCTTGCATGTACAATGAGCTAAAAAAAAACTGAATAGCTTTTGAACTAATAATCAGATTTTCATGTTCTAGGTTTCAATCTGAATGGTTCAAAGGGGTGACCTTTAGATATGCTAATTAATTAGTGCATATGATATTTTAAGTCATAAAACCAAACAAAATGTACTTTCTCTGAACAAACATACCTCTTTTGAACATATTCGTATAATGTTATTTTTGCATATTTATATATCTGTAGAGCTTTTTAAGGGAACTGAAAAAATTTTGCACACAATTATAAAATTTCGTAATCAAAAGATATTACCATGCAAAAAGTAAATTTTAGTAAATATTTATTATTAATTCATTTAATAATAGTTGAAAAAATTTCTAATTGTTAAATATGCAATTTTTTATGTTTTTGTTTTTTTTTTTAACTACGCTATTTTACTGCGAAAAATACAAAATGTAACCGAAATCGTTTGAATAGTTCCTCAGAAATCAAATTTTAAAAAGTCGTATACTTAAAATTTTATTTCTTAGAAACTATTCAACCAATTGTTCTCAAATTTTGTATTTGCCATGTAAAATTACATACCTTAAAATGGTGTAAAAAATTATGTAACTTACAATTCAAAATTTTTCGACTATTATTAAATAAAATAATAAAAAATAATTAGTAAAATTTATAAGTGCAATGTTTTTCATTGCTTAAAAAGTTCTCGGGATATGGTGAAATACGCAAAAAGTAAAATAACAATGAGTCCGAACATTGGATCGATCTCCTGATCGAAGATCTAATGATTGGACTGTGGAGATCCAATCATGAGATCAAAAGTTATTTGGGGTGATCCATTTTCTTTCTGCACTCCTCACACTCCATTCCAAATTTCAGAGAAATGTTTAGGATAATAAAGTTGATATTCGACCCTCTAATGCCACGTCACAATAAAAATGTCTGTAGAAACAAGTTGGTTTTTTTTTAACGAAAAAGACAGATACCAAAACAAAACTCGTTCTTGATTTTTAAACAATCTATATAAGGCTAACAATTTTAATTTAACCTTTTTTCGTTGCCATGTTTTTTGAAAAAAGTGACCATAATGAAACAATGTTCATTTAAAACTATTTTTAAAAAATGCTGTTGTAATTAAAAACACTGATAAAAATTAAAAGAGAAGCAGAAAAAAATTTTACTTAATTCTGAAATGTAACTTGGAGAATCACAGTTTTCTAAGTTACTAGTTATCTGTTTTTACCATACAGGAAAAAAGTGACAAAAGAATAAAGTCTATTTGAAACACTCTGTCAACGTTTTATTCAAAACAGCAAAACAAAAAAGTTCTCGAATCTAGTTTCATTTCTATGTGTCTTTCAGAATATAAATTAACAAGTTTTAGAACTAATATGTGTAAAAACTATTTTTAATAACGTATTGTAAAAAATACAATTTTAGATTAGTTTTTATTAAATCTTTAAAATTCTCCTTAAAAAAACTCGTCCAAAACAATTTTACAAACAATACTTTTGGCAAAGGGAATATTCAGCAAAAAGGCCTAGTATTCATTACATCCCTAATCTCTACCTGTAAGCTAAAAATAATTTTAATTATATTTTTCATGCTAATAATTTATTTCTACTTTATATTAAAGCAAAATTAAAGGCACAAACCCTATTAACAATGACATTAAATTCTTAAAAATATTCCTCTAAATTCTTTATCTTTTACAGATAACAAATTGACTTAGTAATTCTACTTCTAAACAAATCCCTAATATGGATTAGTGGACATCACAATTGACAACATATAAAAAAATCATGCCACAGTGAATTTGTATTAAGCTCAAGTGCTTTAAAAAATGTTTTAAAGCACCTTAACATATCAAAAAACATTGCAGCAAATTAGTAACAATTGTAGTTATTTCTATAACAATTGTAGTTATTTCTATTTTGAGCACTATGATGGCCTTTCTTTTATTTTCCTGATTTATGCTTATATTTAGTAGAATAAGCAGATTTTCTTCCAATAGGGCAAAATTAATGATCGCCACCACGGCTAATTAAAAATAAATATCCATTAAAAAGAATTTCAGATAGTAATTTTTTTTTTGCCATAAATACACCCGTGTATTGTGTGTTTAAATAAGCATATAAAGATTTACCGACAAATGGTATTTTAACAAAAAATATTTGTAATTGATAACTAATTTGAATTTGTAGTAATGTGACCTTAACTAAAAGAAAACTAATTATTTTATAAGAAAAAGGCTAATTTGATCAATTGTGTGTGAGAGTTAAAAATTTTAACATTGATAATTTTTTTTCCTTTTTAAAAGGACAGAAAAACATATAAAAAAATGTTTTACAATGAAATAAATGTATCAGTATTCCTTGCTAATAAAAAAAAGTAATATTTTCTTGTTTAAAATATTGAGTGTTCAGAAAACTCAGTTTCAAAACAGTTATAAATTTTTTTATAATTCTTTCTAGTTTAATGAATATAAATGCCCTCAGATCACACACATTTTATTCAGTTTGTGATCTGCAGTTTTGTGTTTCAAAAGCATTTCAACTAAAATGATGCTTTACAATGTAATCTCATTTGATTTCTGAGTTATAGTATTTCTATTAAATATTCAAAACAAAATTAAGTGTTTTTTCTCTTTTTACAGAGTTCCCAAGGTGCAGTCTATTCAAATCGAGGAAAATCTTTATCCCAAGAACATTTTCTGAAGCCTGCTGCACCGCCTCCTCCTCCCTAAAGATATTCCATAGTTTCTTTACTTTTATTATGCTTTGGTGGTTATGGATGCACCTAAAACTATTTTTTCTTTTAAATTCATTTAATCATGAATTAGACTTTTAATCTTAATTTTTAAATTTATTTTCCAGGATTGAATATTACTTCCAGATTTATAGATTTGATTTAATTAAAATCAATTAGATTTTTTTATTTAAAGCATCTTCATTAAATCTAACATTTATTTAGGTGTACTTAACTCTGAACCAGTCATATAGCAGCTGTTATCACTTATATGTTCGTTTGCGCATAATATAAAGCATTTAATTTTTATTCTAACTGCTTTGGATAAAGTATAACATTTTGCCACATCAATGCATGTTTGGAGGCTGTTGTTCACATAGTTTATGTGAATTGATATAAAATATTTTACTCATAAAAATATATGTATACAAATTACTTACAATTGCTCTGATATGTTTGAGCTTCTTGAATGAATTTTATTGTTTTAAAAACTCCAGGTTGGATAACAGTTATGTTATTGATTTCTTCCCTTTTTATATGTATTTTTGAAATAAAGTTCTTGCATTTGAATATTATAACACTAAATCCTTGAGTTTTATACTTTCAATAACTATACATTTTATTACAGATCAATCTAGTTATGTTTAAATAAACTCGTCACCTAAACACTTTTAAAAGTATTAAACATTTCTCTTTAAAGAATAGCAATGATTAATTTTCAATTGCCCTGATAAGAGCTTTACTGATACACAGACATCAAGTAGAATGTGTTAAACACATTTATAAACCTTTACATTTCTAATGTTCTGATAAGAATATTTTAATACAAAAGTGTTATGTTTGAGAAATAACTTGAATAAAACTACCTTTTAATAACCATCAGCTATTTTATAATACAAATATACATAACTGCAAAGAATATTGCATAAAACAGCTATTTTAAATTTAGAAGGAAAAGCTTTAAATATGTTAACATAAAAAGTCCAGTTGAAATAAATATTGAATGTAAATCTCTGGGGGAAATGAGGATGAAATAAACATATCTTCTACAGTCTTCAATGATCTACATGATTTAAATTCATTGTTCATAGAAGGCAAACATACCAATTTTATAAGTTTTCATACTATGTTCAACATTTGCTTTATTCTGTCTTTACTCGTCCATAAACAATATATTGATGTCAGTCCTAAGCCAATTGCTCCACCAATGCCACATCTTTTTAGTCCAGCTAAAATATAAATTAGAGTTGACACATATTTAAAAAAATTATGCTCTTCTATTAATTTTTTACATGAACAAAAACATATAATAATTTACTATAATATGTATATTAGGAGGTTCAGTCCTCTACTTGCTTTGCTCACTAATCCCCATAAATGCTATTCAATTGACAATATTGACACAGAATTGGTTTATGATTCTACAGTGATTTAGTTCAAACCTAATTATTTTGCTCTGTGACCATTACATCTTTGTTCAAATCATTAATAAATACAAGGAACTAAAAACATAATAGACAAGTTCTAAGTTGAAATTTTAATTTTTTTATGTGCAAGAAATATTTAATTTATCATTAGTTTACTATCCCAAATTATCTCGAGCAAATGAAAAAAGTTAAATGTTAGTCTTAGTATATGTTCACAATCTGAAAAAATCACCTGCATTAATTTCAGTTACGCTCGAGAAACACCATTTTTTTACTAATTTTTTGTAAATTCATCTACCATCATATATAGAATTGTACAAAACACGTCTGCAGTCCCACAATCAGCAAAACTCCTAAACAAATATTGGCAAACTTCCAATCACAGCCGATTATTGTTATTTTTTGTTTTTCTTCTGGGCGAATAAAAACTTGATAAAACCAGGGTATCCGCGCACCTGGAAAGTCATGAATTTAGGTATTGAACAAAATTTGTCATGATTTTAACTATTTTTTTTTAAAAGAAAGTCATTGATTTAGGTCGCTGAAAAATCTAATTTCTAAAATGGAATTTGAAAATGGTGTTCCGAATATCTGAATTTGTAATAAAATTCCCACTCACAGTCATATTTTATTAAAATATAAAATGTTTTTATTGTGTTCTTTAAAAGTTACAGTGTTGTTTCAAAAAATAAAATAAAAAACATCATTTCTAGAGCGAATTATGATTTAAACTTCTGTGATTTCAGAATTAGTGTTATTATTATTTTTTCATTTTATCAATTTAAAATTCTAGCTGAAGCAAGCCAGTCATTGGCGAATTTTTTTAAATTCCGAAATGAGAACAGAAAAATCAGGATTATTTCTTTCCTTTCAGATGAACAAGAAAAGTGTCTTTATAATATAATTCTGCAGAAAAAAATTTTGCTTTTGTATTTTTTCCAGCTATTTTATTGCTTCAACTCTTTCTTTACTCTGTTTTTTTAAATTTAAAATCTTTAAATGTGACAATGCAGAGTATAACAGTTTTGGTTATACCTATTATTTCAATTTATGTTATTATAATGCTTTTTTAAATTTCTTGTGTTTTTGTCAGAGAAAAGAGTAACTTCGTTAAGTCATGAAAAATTCTAGGAATTAGTCATGAATTTGAAAATCTAAAATGTTGCAGATACCCTGTAAAACAAAAAGTATTGACGAATTCTGCCATGCAGGAGTTAACTCCGGATAATAAATATTTGCAATATATACATACCCGAGTTAACTCGGGATAATCAGGGAAGCGGTTAATATTTGTAAAACAGTTTATGAGTTGCATCATTCTATATATGTTATTAAAAAGGAAGTTATGTAACAGTGTAGCATTTTCAGAAGAGCTGCCTGCTCTTTGATGCACCCTTTTTGTAAAAAGGCAGCCATCCCTTAAAAACACTGTCGTTTTATTCATATTCCATTTTTTTTTAAATAATAAATAAATAATTCACGGTTTAAATAATTACACTGGCAAAATTATCTGAGTTAATATGTTTAATTCTAATTTTTTTTTTTTTTTTTTTAACAAAAGTGAATCTTTACATTTTCATTTTTTCTGTTTAAATTATAGAAAAAAGCTGAAATGTGGTTTTAAGAAGAAAAAAAATTATTAAATATTTATGTACAGTGATTCTTTAAGCATGCCTTTATTTTTTAAACTACAAATTTTTCTCGCATTTTGATGATGAGGGAAGATTGAAATGCACACATAAAATATTATAAGAAGGTAAATTAAAAATTATTGAGGATCAAATTCAGTTATTACATAATTAACATTTTGATAAATTTTTACAGTGTTAAGTGAGAGCCTTTTTCGGTGTAGGAGAGCACTGCTTTTTTTTATTCCCTAAGGAGAACTCTGTATGTAATAAATTAATGAGATTTCTTTATATAAGTAAAAAAAAAAAAAAACACTTTAATTTTGAATAATAATCAAAAATCTATTATAATAATAACAAAGAATATTAAGTATAACGTGAAAATACCTTTGAATAAAGAATTAAGTAAAAAAGTACCATGACAATCTAATGACAACCAAAGAAATTTAGTTCTTTGTTAAATATATATATGTATAAACATATATTTAGAATTCTGATAGTTCACCAATTACTTTGACAATTGTTAAGCTATCATTTTTAATAATAAAAAAACTTTTTAAACTGAAATACCCGTAAATATATAAGAGAATAAATAATAATCATAACCTGTGTGTGTGCACAGTCTAGATTAGTTAATGCTGAGATTAACACTTCCCTTCTTGCTCCTGTCTAAATGACATGGTGAAGTTCAACCCTTTATTTTTTTGTGCCCTTGATATTCTGGACTACTATTTTCCGTGTTTAATGACCCACACCCCTGGTAAGCATTTTTTTAAATGAAAAAAAAAAAGACTGATTCCTGAAATTGTTTTAGTCCAGGTAACATATTACATGCACTTAGCTTTATATAAGTCTAAATTGATTTCTTCAAAATTTTGTGACCATTAGGAAGTTAATCCAATATAGCATGACTACTGTTTTTTATCCTTATAATGCATTGTTTATTTTTTTAAAAATCATACTTGTACATCAAAATCGCATTTATTATAAGAAAGAAAAGATTGAATTTGGAATTAACCAAAAAATAGGGCAAATGTTTATATTATACATAAAATTGAACATTAGTATCAATAGGAAATTATACAAAATTTAATATTAGTTAGAATTAAAAAGAGTTGACTGTATTAGAAAAGTTAAATAATGCTATTACAAGATCTAGAGCAACTTGTGTGTTAAAAAAATAGAAGTAGTACATTTAAACAATGAATAAAATGATATATAAACATTACCTGATGATTTATACAGTAACCCTGTGCAAGCTCCAGCAGCAATAGTATTTATTTCATCATCAACACCTCTCACAAAAGAGAATAATACTCCAAAACCACTGTACATAACAGCTACAATGATAATATTATATAAGCATAGTAAAATAAATAATAACAAAATTTAATTCTAGCATTTTAGAATGAAAAATCTGGGGACTTACCAACAACTCCTAAAGTATTTGCAGTACCTGCACCACGTTTTGTTATGTGATTTAATAATCTGAAATAAAAATAATAATAAATCTTTTTAAAAATAAGTAGACTCAACATATTACTTAAATCAAATATATTTGTAGATTAGCAAAAGTACATACAAATAGTCTGGTGAAATATGTATGGACTATTAATTTTCATTTATAAGTGCTTTGGACCAATGACTAATTTTTCTTAATATTTATACCTGGTGCAATCAATATTTAACTAGAAAAAGAAACTATTTTACTTCTTAATAGAAACTCTTTCTAAAACTCAAAAAAGTGACTCTTGGAAAATCTAAAAACATATGTCAAGTGCTTGCATAGTTATTTGTTAAGACAATATAGTTTAATATACACAATTACGAATAGTGCCACTAAAAAACTTTTTAAAAAATACGCACTGGGTTCTTTTAATGCTAGCTATCTGATTTGAAGCAGCCATTTGTTTATAACCTCCATAAAAACCTTGTGCCCCTCCTAGAAAAGCACCTAAAAGAAAAAATTAAAATACCTTGAACAAAATATATAAATAGTAAAACTAAATGTATTATAGTGTGACAAAGGTGAGAAAATTAGGTTACTGTTAATTTCTCATTCATTATTGCATATAATATAGTATGATTTTCTAAGAGGTAAAATGGAAGTATGGTAGGTATTTTATTCACTCCCACAAGAGATGTGCAATGGACTATTGTCGACAAGAGGCAAAGTGTAAGGTCACCAAGCTCGGGAACTGTTCAATACCGAAGATTCAGAAGCAATTCTGCTAGACTAAAGCTTTTACACATTTAAGTAGTATAATAAAAAAAAGTTACTTTAACTTAGCAGAACAATAAAGTGATGAAGTCACACTCAAATTTTCTGCTCTCCCTGTTACTGATACTCATAAAAATTACCAGGTGGCAGGTTTTGGCATCATGGATGTAAGTATTGTAGTTAATCCCAAGGGTCACAATTTTAGGAATATATCCTCCCATAAATAACTATTGAAATAAGTAGGATCAAAGCTGATGATCAACAAAAAATGTTTTATTATAAATACTGAAACAATAATGTCAAGATTATTTTCTCCTAATAAGAAATTAGAAAAATACACATTCCCTCAAAAAAAATTATGCTATAACATTCATCTCAAAGTTTTTGTATTTTTTAACATTGACAAGTTCTCATGGATAAATGTGAGATTCTAGAAATAATATGCTATACTTGTTGCCTCAACCTTTTACTTTATGTATCAATATATAAAACACTAAAAATAAAAACTACCTGTCATCACTGCTCCACCTATTTGAGAGAAAGCAAGTTCAAATCTTCCTCGTTGTCTTGATGCACCCTCAGGAAAAATCCATTCTGGACCACCCTATAACATAAAATAACAGTCATCATATTAGCTAATCATTGGAAATGTTCACTACTTTTTTAAAAATAAAAAAAAAACATCCATTTCTATTCATCTAAGCAACATTTTTATACATTGCCAATACAATACATAGCAAAATTTTAATGTAGAATTACTGCTAATTTTTGATGATTTTTAGAAAAGAAAAGAGACAATGCAAACTGCTTTGTAAAAAAATAAGGATTTAAGCAATAAAACACCAGACTATATTACTATTGTGTATTGTAAATTACATTTTTTTATCTTTAATTTACTTAATTTATACTTCTTTTAAAAATGCATTAAAGTCAAAAACCCAGTTAATATTAAATTCTTAAAGACAATCGCAGATATCCTTAGTCTTTTAGGGATAGCAAATTGACTTAGTAAAATCGTTCTTCTTTGGCAAATCTGTCTGTGATTATTGGACATCACAATCAGCACAGAAAGCATGCTTTCATCAGTTGCAACTTTTGAAAATTAGAGCAAGCTTGTTGAAGAGAAAAAAAATTAAACATTTTGCCCAATAGGTGGTACCAAAGAAATGCAGATTGGGTTTAGGGCCAGATAATATTAGAATCAACTCCCTAATTTCACAATATGATTTCCAATAATTTTTTTTTATTTTTGAAAAAAATCAGTCTTAATTTTAAAATAAATTTATTTTTAATTACAAATGCATAGTTAAATTCAAATTCAGCAAGTTCCATTAACATATTTGTCAAGCCAGGAAATGATTTGCCTTTATTGTAAACGTTACAGCACCTAAACTTATATAAATATTAATTTTAAAATTCATCTGTCAAAAAATCATGTTGTGGCAAATTTATAATAAGTTAAGGTGATTTAAAACATTACATTTCTTTTGTTAATGTTTTAAAACGCCTTAACTTACAAAAATGATAATCGCTAATTACAAAGTTAACAAGCCAAAAAACAAATCGCTGCAAATTTGTAACAACAATTGTAGTTATTTATGTTTTGAAGGATGATGATGTCTATGATGCTTTTCTTTTATTTTTTTATCCAGGTTTTTATTTGGCAGAATTGCAATTAAGTATTAATATTAAAAATCTCTGCCCCTTGCTCGTGAATTTTCTAAACTACCATACTAGAGTTCACTTGAGACCACTTCACTATTCGTCCTTACTTCATTTTTCATTTGAAATTATTTAAAATTAAGTTCAGAAAAAAATAAATTACTTCACTGCACAGACAATTATAAATTCAGGCGATTGGAAGCACAGCAACACTTGTAGGCCTATAATTCTCTCATAAATACTTAAAATGTACAAACATTTATGAAAAAGGAAGGAAAAATGGGGATAAAAATTATAATAAGAAAGTAGATAAATAAGGATGTATTATTGCAAAATTAAAACAAAAGTATAGGATGAAACAATGAGTAAACTATCCAATAAATAGAGCATAAAATTCTTATATCCTAAATGTCTGTAAATCTCGTGAAAACAATCGTAAGTTTCAAAGTTTAGAGACAAGACAGGGACAAATTTAAGGATCTTACACTAGAAAAACCTATGTAAATCTGATACTCTCTTAAATGTTTACATTATATTTCAGTTTTGCAAAAGTTTTCAGTGGATACATGCAAAATGAAAAATAATACTAACTTGACTTAAATAGGCTGGATCAACATTTAAGTATGGTGATAGACTAGCATTATTTGAACCTGCTCCATCTAAAAAGAAAAAATCAATAACATTATTAGATTCATAACAAAATTTAAGACAGAATGTCAATAAAATAGAACACTTTTTGACATAAATTTTGAAAAAAAATATTAACTTAAAAAGAAAAGTCTAGAATAGTAAAAATTAACTAGTCAGCAATTGAGCACAAATAAATTATCAATATAATCATATAAACTATATAATAAAATAATTATAGGTAAACTACTCGTTTGTATGTTAAATAAATCTATAAAGATAGTTTACCAAAATCATATTTAAACATTTATTTAGCTCATAAATCTTTGAACTATCCCCAATATCTTTAAGAGAGCTTTCACTGAGATAGAAGATGAGTAAAAAGAAGTGAGTCGGAATTTCAAAATGTCTTATCAGTTTTGCAGAGACCTGTAAAATTCAAAATGTCTTATCAGTTTTGAGTGCATAAATATACATTGCTGCCACAGGTACAGTAACAAGAAGCTATAAAAAATTCCTATATGAGGTTCAATAAATAGCCAACCCCGGACAGTCATCTAATTAATAATGGGTCGTCGGTGGTTGCGCATAGCCTTAGAGTTCAAGTTTCCTAGTCATATATTTAGGTCAGACTGGATGTCAGATAACTGGTTTAAAGATCTTCGACTTGATTTCCCAAGTAAGAAGAGTATTCTTGAATATGATATTTAAGTAAAATCATTTGTTTAAATTTTGTAGCCAGGAGTTTATTTCCTCTGAAATATTGTTAGTATATCATTGTGAACCAAGGTAGGTGAATTTTGAAACTCTTTCAACCTTATATAATAGTTATCTACTGCAAACACTGATAAAATAGTGGTAGACTTTTTCATCAATAACAAGACTCATTTGTTAATTTTACTAGATGACTAGTAAATTAAATTAAAGCAGTTCGACTTCTACTCAAAATGACGGTATTATCAGAAAACGCACAAAGCTGAATGGTCTCTAAGATAACAGAGCCTCCTGAATCTAATTGGAGGATATTGGACTAAATGCCAGAATAAAAAATAATGGTGATAAAAATTCTCTTATCTGACATAGATTTAATAAATTTGTTATTTCCAATGCAATGGGCGAAAGAAAACTAAACTAAATTAATTTACTCAGAACAGATATCCAATTTTCCTAATATAATTTATATTATATCAATTAAAACTATAATAAAAATGTTGCCTTTAACACAAATTTTCAAAATGTTTGAAGGAAAATGAATCACAATAAAAAGATATAAAACTTTTTCAAGAAACTTTATACCCATATATTTTTTAAATCACCATATTTTTTAAAACATTATGCATTAATATCACAATACAGCCATGAGGAAAAGGATAAATGTATTTCAAACTGTTCTTCATCTTTGTAAGGAAAAGTATACCAACAAATTGAAATAGCTGCATATTTTAATAGAAATTGAAAATGTAACAGTCAGAAAATTGGAAGCAGAAATTGCATAGAGCATTGAATTTTCTATGCTGATGACTATACACCATAAAATTTAAAAAAAAAAAAAAGAGAGATAGAGAGAGAAGGCAAATTTGTGGTCATTGAGGACAAAATAACTCAAAGCTACCCATAGATAAGCATAAATCAATAGATATATATACAGTTAAACCTGTTTATCTCGAACCTCTTTATCACGAATTTCTAAATTTACTGTCTAAAATCAATGTATTTTCCATGTTTATGTCGAATTTTTTTTTTCAAAACCTCCATTGCAATAAAATTTGGATTTAATGTTGACCTTAATTGTGAAGATTTTTACAAGTGGACAACTGCCTGGCAACATGCAGAACATTGATAGATGCAGAAATCCCAGAGATAATGTCAAAGGAATATCAGATGAAGAGGAAGAAGCTGAAGATCATATTGATGAATCAAAAATGAATGCAAAAGAAGTAGAAAAAGCTGTAGAATTCTTATAAACTACTCTTGAATCCCAGTAAAATGTTGGCTATGAGGAATTTGCAATCTTTCTGACCTCAAAAGAATAATCGAAACAAACAAGATTATACGTAAAAATATCATAAACATTTTTTTCAGAGTGAAATGTATGTTTAAAAACTGTTATGTCAATAGATGTATGTGGCATAATTAGTTTATAATGTATGTGGTATCATTAAAAATGTCTATATTTTTCTACTAAAAATTTCTTAATTAAATTTAATTTTTTTTAAGTACCTGTATAACTCGAAACCTCTTTATCTCGAATTTTTCGCCATTCCCGTTAAAATCGAAATAAACAGGTTCGACTGTATATATAAAAGCAAGTCCTTTGACGCCATGGTAATTCTAGTTGAGTATGAACACGTACTGACACACAAATATCATCAAAATTAAATTGCAAATACCTCACTTAATTTTTATTTGCACACAAACATAGCTTTTACAGGAGATACATAAATATAATAACCAGTTCACGACAACTATCATCACCAAAATCATTTTAAACTTGCAAAAATTTAAAAATAAATACAGTACACTCTCGATTATCCGTGCACGGATTATCCGGTTTGTGGATTATCCGTGCTCATTCCGGAGTCACAAAAAATATAAAGAGAAACATTTTCAGAATTGAGAAACTTTGATTCATGAAGTTATAACACTACAAAATTTCTGGAAGCAATATTCGTTATTGGATTACAGTATATGGAATATCAGCAGCATGGTCAAGGGTAAAATCGTCTATGTTATCACGATCTTGGAGAGAGATCATACCGCTTGATGAACAATCTTCTTCAGATGTTCAAGAAAAATATGATAACAGTATTTTCGAACAAGCGAAAGGAATCTAAGGTTTCGAAATTCTTGATGAAGAAAATTTAGAAGATTGGTTTCCAGTATTTGACAGATGAAGAGATCGTTATGTTGTTAAATCAAATAGTGATGATAGTAACTGATGCAGAAGATGTAGTAAATGAATGAAATACAATTTCTCATTTTGCTGCTCTGTGTATTAGATTATATGGGAGGATTTGATTACGGTGACATTACTGCGGTTCATAAAATATGTGTATCGTTAAATGGCGAAGACGCATTACACATTTTTTTAAAAGGAAAATTCCTAGTTTGATGTTTTACAGCATGCAAATGTGAGTAATTTTATATTTTTTGTACTGATATTGATTTTTTCTTTAATAAAAGGAGTTTTCGGATTATCCGTGTTTTTCGATTGTCCGTGCGACCTGTCCCGGTGATTAGCCCGGATAATCAGGAGTGCACTGTATGTAGATGTTTGTCAAGAAGTGGCTACAAGTTAAATCTTTCAGGCTAGTCCCCTTCTATTATTTATTTTTTTAAGTCATCGAAGCTTGGCGATTATTTTGGCGTAGATACCCACAAGGAAATCTTATTGTTTTATAAATCTCTCATCAATTTGTTCAATGTAAAACAACTTGGCAATAAACAACAAACTCCATCCTTAGCAAATATAAATAGACTCCAAACTTGGTTCAAACTACATTTAAAAGGCAAATAAACTAACTTAGTTTTACATTAACATTTATCATCAGGGTTCTGTCCAAGGCAAATTTACTACCGTTTAGCGGTACCTTCACAAATTTAACTTTAGGAAAAACAGTAGAATAGTTTCCCAAAATACTCTTTCTTAAAATTTTATTTTTTTCTCTCGTAAGAAACGATAAATCCCTATTTTTACCATATTTTTGTGTTTATTTTTTAATATAATTTTTAATTTTAACAAATTATGTCTAAATTTTCACAAAATAGGTACCTCTCAAAAAAACCTAGACAGACCCCTGATCATTATTATAAAGATTATTGTCTAAAAGATACCGGTAAAGACAACTTAAAGCATGCGCTAAACTATGCATTGACCTTTAGATTATGTATGAACTGAATTAAATATAATTAAACCTAAGAACAATTCCCTTGTACAAAAATACAAACAAAGAAATCGAAAAATTATTACATGCTTTGAAAAAAGGTTATTTAAAACTAAATTGCGCATTTAATTAAACACTGTAAATATTTACATTGCATCATCCCAGGATCCATTGGAGGAAAAATATTTAAATAACCACTTTGACGATCCATGATTTTGTAATTTATTAATTGTAAAAAGTTTAATTATTGAAAATTTTGATGAAAAAATAACAAATTATTTGTTATTATAATTCATAACACCATACTACTGAGAGACAGACGACAGCAACAGCAGCACATGTAAAAGGAATGTTGCCAAAAAAAACTTATAAAACTCAATTCGTAGACAATAATTTAGCGCCCGGAAATCCCTAAGCCATTCACACTGGATTGTAAAATTCTGTGGTTGAGAATTCGAAGATGCGTACGAAAACTGCTGGATTCCCGTCTCCAAATTCAGGAACTGGATTTTTACATAGCCAGTGAGAATTGTTTTTAAGCAGAGTCATTTCTCAATGTACAGTCCAAAGAGTGTGGTACAGTCACTAGAAAAGATTCCTCAACAGAAATTTTTCACAAACGTGAAGCAACCCACTTCAGTTTTCAGAATATTATTTTAAATAATCACAGAAGAAAAATGATATATATTTCCACTTGCATCCGCAATTTATGACAAATGCGTTGATAGTGCACCTGCGTGATTCTGGTTTTTGTAATTTATTTACGGAAGCGTCTTTGAGAATAATCAGAAGACATGCCATAACAATTTTGATCCTCTTCAGAGGGTATGCACTCCCTCTTCAGTAACGCGACTAGCTGCGAGTGATTTTATGGTTGAACAGTTTCACGAGGACCAGTACCGCAGACTTTCAGAGCCTTCTCAGACTGATCCAAGGGGTCAGCCGTGTCTTAGTGATCAGTAAATTAGGGGGCGGGGCACGTGGTCCTGGTTAGCAGCACACTGACAGTGTACCAACATGCTTGTAATTTTCAGAATGCATGACTGTCTGTTTCAGTTTCTACAAGATGTTTTCGAGTGGAATGTCAAGTCAGATGCTGAGATTCAATTCGTTAGGAGTGAAAAAATGGAAATTTGCCAATGTTGCTACATCGTGTACGTGTGTAATAAGCAAATTGCCCAAAATAGGAATCTATTTTTTAACTAACACTTTGGCCGACATATCTATACCTTCCAGCGGACCAGGAAAGGGTTTTTTTCAGTAAAAGAAATTTGTTTTAAGTAGAAACAAGAATCACGTGTACTTTTGCTGATGAATGGATAACTGGAAACGCATGAGCTTGGGATTTTTTCAATTTTACTGGAACCACTAGATGAATTGCTGGAAGCCCTCGAGTTTGGAGCATTCGAACTGGAGGAAGACACTTTGCTGGAGAGTTAGAGGCATTTGTTCTCATGTTTATAAAATCGCTTACCGTCTTTTGCCTCTTCCTCAAGCGTTTAACAGGATGCATTACTTTAAATGGTCAATATTTAATGTTCTTTTCAGTCGACTTCTAAAGTCTTGAGATGAAATTATAGGAATTCGTTGATATTTCACTCAATCTGTGAGGAGCTACGAACACCACAGAGTGAGGCTTGGGCCTCACTGGTTGAAGAATTGGAAATTTTTTCCGTGGTGGTGTCAATCGAGCTGGGAGAGAAATTGTTTCAAACACGTATTCTGGTAAAGTTAGAGAAACTATAGTTCACGCCAAGAGTGGCGCTAGACTTAGCCCGACAGGGGGTCAGCAATGCCCCGACAGGGGGGCTAAGATAACTTTGAAAATAAGCAATAATTTTTAATATACGAAAAATAATTAATATGACATAGACATATTTGTTCTGATAAAAAAATTATCATGATTCAAATATTAACAAAGAAAAAATATAAAAGTGATATCTGAATAAATAAACAATATATGCACATCCATCATAAGATTCTACAGTGTTCTCAATTAAATATTCTACTCAAACAATGCAACTCAAACAATAAAAAATTTATGCACAACTAGAAAAAATTCCAAAAATTCGAGCTTACTACTACTAATGTTTAATTCCGTAGCCTTGTAATTTTGAACCTAATCCAGCAGACAAGAGAACTCCAGGATCAAGTAGTGGAAGAAATTTTTGCATTCGTGGAGGACGTTTTGATAGCCCGCATTTGAGTTACATGGAGAGGAAAACCACGAAATCCTCCTACGGTTAGTCTGATACCAAGGGAACTCTAAGAAATGATCCGCTTACCACTGAGGATATTTCACGTCAGCAC